AGCTGGGAAAATCTCATAGTTTACAAAAACATCTGCTTAGTTTATAAGATCACTCGTGGGTTGGCTCCTCCTCCTCTGGCTGGCTGCATCAGCCTAAAGTCCACCTCAACCAGGGCTACTAGAGGTGCGGCTAGGGGAGACTGCACCATCCCATTTAGGAAGAGCGCATTCAGCCAGGCTGTCTTTCATTCCACGCATCCCATCAATGGAATTCAATACCACAACCAATGAGAGAGTCCTCATCCTACTACACATTCAAGCACAGTGTTAAAAAGTGGCTCATTAATAATCAACAGTGTCAGCACTGATGTGTGGGTGTAGGTGTGTGTATGAGTGCGTATTGTACATTTTGTATTTATTATCATGACTTGCTCTTATCTGTATTCAGTGATATCATCTATTGTAAATATGTACAATGGTATAACAATGTTGTGGTATTTTTATTATTGCTTTTAGGATGTCAATCACCATCTGGCAAAGGGACTATCGATGAAAACTAGCCTTTTGGCTAATTGACTACTTTTACATGTTTTTAATATGTTGATTAATGTACACTAGTGTTGTCACGATACCAACATTTTGGTTTCGATACCAAGTCAAGAATTGCGATTCCGATTCTTTTTCGATACTTTTCTAAAAAAAGGGAAACAGTCTTAAACCAGAACCATAACCATAACACACACTTTTAAACAATGAGAACAATAAACAAAATAAATGACAATAATTCGTATTAAATAAAATTAAGCATCATCTCAAAAAACTTTTTTGTTTTATAAAATATAATTTGTTTTATATTTTATTAACATGTAATAGTACAGTAATATAAATAATTATTGACAAAATGTATATTGCAGATGATAGCCACATTGGTAAGTTAGCTAAAAAGATAGCCATATTAGACAGTTATCATTGCCATTAATTGCCTCGTCAAACTACGAAAACGTTCGTTTGTCACAAAATAAATTACACTTGTTTGACTTAGATTTGAGGGCATGGGCTTGAGCATGATGTAATTATGTTATCTATCACATTCGCTAACCTGTCTGTCTTTAAATTCTTTAAACAGCTCTGGATTCCGGTCGGCGGGTGCTTAGCCAAGTCTGATGTGTTGGCTCCCTTGGTTTGCAGGGATCTAAAACATTTGGTGTCCGTAGGCTTGCCCTCACTGTCAGAGATATAGCTCAAATACTTCCAAATTTCGCTTCTGGCGTCTTTTTTGTCAACAAGCCGAGGCGCAGCGCTAGTTGCACTCCCACTTGCAGCCATGCTTCTCGTTTTCTCACATGCTCTGGCAGCTAGAGCGTGGCCGCGTGCACGAGAGAGGGGAGGGACTTAGAACGTGCTTGAGAGGGGCGGGACTGCAGGCACGGCTGCAGTGCACGAGTGGAAGCAGAGCGATACACACGGCTCTTATTAAAACGGCGCTTTCTCACCGGAGTACTTTTCCCCGTCATTTTTAAAGTACCGATACTAATGAAACGGAGGAATCGTACCGTTTGTAACGGCAGGGTATCGCGGTACCTTTCAAGTATCGGTACACCGTGCAACACTAATGTACACTGTCCCTTTTTTTAAATAAATCAATTAAATGGACTGACTCAGCATGTGATGGAGCCCACGCACAATAAGGGGCACACTCTGGACTTAATGAGCTCAAAGGGTCTGAATATCTCTGAGGTTGTGGTGACTAATGTTGCACTCTCTGATCATTCCTTTGAGAGCTCTATTTCTGTTCACACAAATGTTCAAAAAAAGGTAACCACAAAGCGATATTTAACTGACAACACTAGGGAAATGTTTACTCAGTGTTACGTTCCCTATTGGGCTAGGGGAACCAAAGGGAAGCGACACGACCAGAGTGGTATTGGTAGTAATTATAAGTGGCTTTATTATAAAGCAAAGCGTAACAATATGGCCGGCAGGCAGCCTGACACAAACAAAAGGGCCAAAAGGGCACTGGTTGACAACCAACCAAACAAAGGGAGGACTCTTAAAAAGGAGCCTGTGTACATACACAATAAATAAATACTAATATACAAAAGGAAACAAAACCTCACTTTAAAAGTGGTACAACTAAATAAGGGAGATATATACAAAACACACAGCTAAACTAAAAGGCAACAGTCACAAAATCCTAAGCTACTCTAAACACTAACTAAACTACTCTACACTATAACGAAGTTGTCACTCGACACTGAACACATATATTGACACTCGTTACTTAGCACAGTCTGTAGTGTCCCTGACACAAGAGCAAAAGGTATGAGGCGTCTGATCGCAGCAGAGCCTCCAGAGTGGTGATAGTTCCCAGGCTATGTAGTCCTCTCCAGCAGGTGTGCGCTGGGCTGGCACAGGGATTGGAGAACGTCGGGCCCGGCGTGCTCCAATCAGTGTCCTCGGAAGTGGACCAGGAGATGACAGCCAATGATGTTGGGGCAACCACACAGCTCATTTACATAATCAACCACAGCTGAAGACACTCACAGGCAGGTTAATGAGCAGACAGCAGCAGCAGCCGTGACACTCAGGATGTTTCTTCCACACTTGCCCCTGCTAACATCTCAGTATATGAGCTAGTAGATCATTTTAATTCAAAAATAAAAAATGTTATAGATGCCATTGCTCCAACTAAGGTAAAGGAAGTGACTGGGAAGAAAATATCTCCATGGAGAAAGGCCATGACCGTGAGAACAGAGAAAAGAGAGTGTCGAAAAGCTGAACGTAGGTGGAGAAAAACAAATCTCCAGGTTCACTTTGAAATCTATAAAGAGAGACTTGGCTTTTATCATTTGGAATTGTAAATTGCACGACAGTCTTTCTTCTCTGACATCATTGCCAAAAACAAAAACAATGCACGTGCCTTGTTTGCTACCGTCGACAGACTAACTAACCCCCCAGTGTCAGTATCCCCCCCATTCAGAAAATCAGACCAGCAGTCAGTGGCCTCTGCATCAGGTACAGCAGATGTGTTGTCCCTGTGTCCACCTGCCTTGTTTCATTTCATTTTTATTTGTCCCGCTCATGGTACGCAAAACCAAATGTACAATAATTGCCACAAAACATGACTCTACCATTTAGCGAAAAAGGAGCAGGGAGAAGAATAAAATCTTATGTGACCTGCCCCTTTCTAAAAAAAAACAAATAAATACAAATAAATGGTCTGCCCTTCATAATAATAATTTTTTTTCACAGCCAAACATAACAGTATCTTAGGATACTAAGAGAAACACACAAACAAAAATACTTATTTCCCACTTGACGGTTAACGGAAAGAAACAAAACACCAAAACATCACATGTATAAGGAAAAGAAAAGTGCAACACCCTCATCCGAGTCCTACTGGAGAAGAAGGTGGAAAGCGACACATGATGATAATAACAATAACAACAATAACAATGGCAATGGGACCCGCAAATACAGAGGAGACATCACATCAAAGACATCAAAAACATAAATGTTTGCTACCGTCGATAGACTAACAAACCCCACAGTGTCCCCCCCATTCAGAAAATCAGACAAGCAGTCAGTGCCTCTGCATCAGGTACAGCAGATGTGTTGTCCCTGTGTCCACCTAAAATCAATTCAAACACCATGACACAGTTCCATCAGATTAATGATAAAAACCTAGAGGACATTATTCAACTTCTGAAATCCTCCTCCTGCTGCCTTGATATTATTCCAACAGGGTTTTTCCAAGATGTTTTTCCTTGCATGGCCTCAGATCTACTTCACATAGTAAACAAGTCTCTTCACTCAGGTGTTTTTCCACAGGCTCTGAAAACTGCAGTCATTAAACCGCTCTTAAAAAAATAATAATCTAGACGCTTCAGTAATGAACAATTACAGGCCCATATCAAACCTCCCATTTCTAGGTAAAATCATTGAAAAGTAGTTTTTCAACAGTTGAGTAATTTCTTGCATTTAAATAACTGTTTGGATGTGTTACAGTCAGGCTTTCGTCCAAACCACAGCACTGAGACTGCTCTTGTAAAGGTCTTAAATGACATCCACTTATGGCGCATTTCCACTGCAGGGCCTCGCACGGCTTAGGTAGGCCAGGCTCACTTTATGCTGCGTTTCCAATACAGTTTAGGAACTGGGGCAGTAACTATAGTAACGCAGTGTAGGCGGAGCAGTGACGTCATCTTCAATGTGTGTCACTACCCGATTTGCAGCCCTGCACTATCTGCAGTGCGCATGTGCGAGATGGTCCGCCATATTTGACAACTCCATACGGCAACTCTAATAGGACATTTGACACAGTGGCGTTTGGCAAAGCAGAAAAAGAACACTCAAAAAACCCGACAATATTAATCTGAACGAGAGAGATGAGTTATTGTTATCACAACGTGACTTCACTATTATTGAGCAACTCCTTTTATTGGGTCATTTTATTGGTTTAAGTACATTGTCAGAATAAGTGAGAAATGGATGTAACTTCTGTTAGACAGCCATCATACATACTGAAGAAATATTGACTGTGAATGTATGCAATATGTATGGCATTCATAATTTATATCTAATTACATTAACTGTGAATGTCCTTCATTTTATTTCAAATAACAAAATATTTTAATAAAGATATTTGAGACGTTTATGACTCGCGCATGCACGATGCAAATCGGGCAGCCGTCAAGACGTCAAATGTCCTATTAGAGTTGCCGTATGGAGTTGTCAAATATGGCGGACCTTCTCGCACATGCGCACTGCAGATAGGGCAGGGCTGCAGATCGGGTAGTGACAATGTGAACCACAAAACCAACATCAGCCGTTAGCTGTTAGCCCTCAGAGCTCACAGCTCCTCATATCTGTTTAGAACCTAGACAGAAGTTAAACAAGTACAAACCACAGACTGTCTGTGTCATGGCGAATACAGTCGCTGGTTTATTTATGTCTGTATAGGGCGTTCCGAGCTGAATAAGGGCGTCACATGAAGGCAAGACGCCCGCCTGGCGGAAACGCTGGAATTAGGAATATATTGTGATGAAGTGCACACTGACCTGAGCTCCAGGGGTCTCTTTCTTCTCCTCCATGCTGCTCATCAGCTGTCCTGATGAAGACCACAGAGCTGCTTCATTATTAATATAATACAAATATTTAGATATAATTCATCATAAACTGTCAGCAGTGAAGAGGAGGAATCCAAAGAGTTTATTCAATGATATGTTCTATTTCTAGATGCTTATATGTAGTGTTTTATCACACCATGTGCAGTGCCGTGTCTTATCTATGCTGCTGTGACGTGAACATGTTCCAAATTGATCCATTTAGTCAATGTGATGCTAAGCAGAGGAGAACATGATAGAAAGGTCAGATAGTTATTAACGTTACATGCAAATTACTTTAACCATTACGATACAAAGTTGGTTTTCTGTGTAAATTATTATTAATATAATACAAATATTTAGATATAATTCATCATAATCTGTGTAGCAACTTACATTATAACTTACAGCTCACAGTTTGTTCACTTTTATTTCATTAAAATGACTTTATTCACATAGAAAGTGACATTAATGGATTGTTTGAACCACAGTTATAACGACTATCCGTGTGTAACTATCACTAAGTTAACACAGAAAGCAAACATTAGCTAGTGAGACTGTTTAATGTACTCCATGTATACAGTATTTTCTGTATATTGTGTATTCTTTATCTCACTCGCACCATTTCCGTGTCAGACCCATAGACTATATATAAATGGACGTAGTGTCCGTGACGTCACCCATAGGATTCTGCAGAGTTGCCGTGAAGCCCTTAGTAGGCGGAGTCGGCCACTAACGGCTCGACTGTGACGTCAGAGTCTAATCCCGCCTCTCCAAATAAGGGCAAAGAGGCGGAGCCGAGGCGGGACCTGCTGCCTCCGAACTGGAAGTAAACAGAGCTAGCTCAGGCTAAGAAGCTAAGCTAACATGAAATACATGCATACCAAGTTATTGCTAACAGTGTAGTTCCCCTATATAAACGTTACATTCATAATCAAATGAGACAATCTGCAAGAGAATTAGCTATATTTTGTTATTCTTAATGCTTGTCATTCATACGTTGAGAAAAGACGGACTCCACCGCCCGGACCTAACGGAGCCGCAGTGGGCTAGCTCCGGGACGCCGGCTGGAGCTAGCCCTCTGCGGCTCCGTTAGCTCCGGCGGCCACCACTGGGATAATTGGGTCCCCTATTAACATTTGCTCCCGTTTAGCATTATGGTCGTCATAGCCATAGACTATAAAAGTCTTACCCAAGGCAGAATCATAAACTAAAATGTATATGTATGCATAAAGGGTTAAATCCTTAGCTGGCTAATAAGTAACAAGCTAAGCTAGCAAGCACACAAACACCTGCGAACGGGGTTAACAACATATTATAATTTTAGACTTCTTGGAAGTTCTGTTAGTACATTCAAGCGCACAGCACGACATTTTAATTGTCTGGTATTTGTAACAATATTCCCTAAAAGGCACAATCACCACGAACACGGCTAAAGCTAAAGGGTCAAGTACAGTACTATGACTAACTAACGTTGTAGCATCTATGGTTGTAGCCTAGCAGAGTGGACAAGTTGCTGTTAGCTGACAGTGAGGCATGTATGTGTCCATCAACGTGACCACGCCCTAATTTATGCAAAAACTTTAAGACCTAATATAAATAAAAGGGTTGTGTTAGAAAACAATTCACTCACAGATTCATAATCATGAAGGTGGAATCTAACTATATCGAGAATAATATGTATTGCATCCATGGGTAGAAACATGTTTTTTTCTGCTGTAAAGTTGGACATTTTAAAATGGGGGTCTATGGAAATTGCTCCTTTCTGCAGCCAGTCCCTAGCGGCCCATGTATGAACTGCAGTGTGTGGCACTTCCGTATTGGCGTCCCGGCTGTTCCCCAGAGTTTGCAGCTTGGTCAGACCACGTTATCCCCAAGATGGCGCCGCATGGGGAAAGCTAAGCTAATACGCACACACATTCATACTCTTTTTAACATGTAAACAGCGCAACAAACACTCCACACATTTAGTGGGCCGTCACACTATATACGCGAACATTGTGGGGGGGGTTCATATGAGTTTTGCAGCTTTTACCAACCTGTAATGAGCAGGTCAGACAGGAGCAATGAGGACACGAGTTATTTGGTTTCCTTCCAGATTGTTTCTGAGGGAAACACCGGAAGTCCGTCCCTCTAACCAGTCTCCGGAACACAAACGTTCCGCCACACTTCCAAATGCACTGCTCAACCCCGCCAACGAAATGAAAATAGACAGATGTACAAAACAAAGGCATATTCCAACTCCAAACAATAATAATTATTAGATCAATTTGGTCACACATCCCAGGGGTGCCACATATAGGCAAGGCAGGCAAGTTTATTTATATAGCACTTTTCAACACAAGGCAATTCAAAGTGCTTTACAAAAAAATGAAAGAGATTAAGAAAATGGCATTTAAAATCAGTCATTAAAAAGAAAAGCTAATCAAATCAACATTAAAAGAAAAAATACATGGATAAAAGTTACAGTGCTGTCAATTAAACATTAAAGCAAAAGTACATGGATAAAAGTTACAGTGCAGTCTAAGATATGAATAGTTCAATTAAAAGCAGCGACAAAAAGAAAAGTCTTCAGCCTCGATTTAAAAGTAGTCCAGAGTTGTAGCGGACCTGCAGGTTTATGGGAGTTTGTTCCAGATATTTGGAGCATAATAACTGAACGCTGCTTTACCCATGTTTAGTTTCTGACTCTGGGGACAGAAAGCTGACCAGTTCCCTGAAGACCTGAGAGATCTGGATGGTTCATCATTTAGCAGGAGGGTCAGAAATGTATTTGGGCCTAAACATCAGTGCTTTATAAACCAGCAGCATATTTAGAAATCTATTCTTTGACACACAGGAAGCCAGTGTAAAGACTTCAGAACAGGAGTGATCCACTTTCATTAGTGTTAGTGAGGACTCGAGCAGCGGCGTTCTGAATCAGCTGCAGCTTCCTAATATATGTTTTAGTGAGACCTGTGAAGACACCATTGCAGTAGTCGAGTCTACTGAAGATAAAAGCATGGACAAGTTTTTCCAAATCCTGCTGTGACATTAGTCTTTTAATCCTAGATATATTCTTTAGGTGATAGTAGGCTGATTTAGTAACAGTTTTAATGTGACTGTTGAAACTCAGGTCAGAGTCCATGACTACACCTAGATTTCTGGCTTTATCTGTTGTTTTGAACATTGCACACTGAAGCTCAGCGCTAACTTTGATACGTTCTGCCTTGGCTCCAAAAACCATTACCTCAGTTTTATCTTTGTTTAATTGGAGAAAGTTCTGACACATCCAGTCATTGATTTGTTCAATGCACTTACTCAGTGTTTGAATTGGAGCATAGTCTCCTGGTGAAATTGTTACGTAAATTTGTGTGTCATCTGCATAGCTATGGTAACTTATTTTGTTGTTCTTCATTATCTGAGCCAGTGGTAGCATGTGAGATGTTAAAGAGAAGAGGCCCCAGAGCTGGAGCCTTGAGTAACCCCACATGTCATTATTGTCAACTCAGATGTGTATTTACCGATAGAAACAAAGTTGTTTCTGTCCTTTAAGTAGGATTCAAACCAATTGAGAACTGGTTTCCGAAAGTCCCACCCAGTTTTCCAGTCGGTCTAGTAATATGCTGTGGTCAACAGTGTCAAACGCCAGCAACGAGATCTAATAATACTAACACTGAAGTTCTGCCCACTGTCTGTGTTAAGTGGATGTCATTAAAGACCTTTACAAGAGCAGTCTCAGTGCTGTGGTTTGGACGAAAGCCTGACTGGAAACACATCAAAACAGTTATTTAAATGCAAGAAATTACTCAACTGTTGAAACACAACTTTTTCAATGATTTTACCTAGAAATGGGAGGTTTGATATGGGCCTGTATTGTTCATATACTGAAGCATCTAGATTATTCTTTTTTAAGAGCGTTTTAATGACTGCAGTTTTCAGAGCCTGTGGAAAAAACACCTGAGTGAAGAGATTTGTTTACTATGTGAAGTAGATCTGAGGCCATGCAAGGCAAAAACATCTTTGAAAAATCCTGTTGGAATAATATCAAGGCAGCAAGAGGAGGATTTCAGAAGTTGAATAATGTCCTCTAGGTTTTTATCATTAATCTGATGGAATTGTGTCATGATGTCTGAATTGATGTTAAGTGGACACAGAGACAACACATTTGCTGTTCCTGATGCAGAGGCACTGACTGCTTGTCTGATTTTCTGAATTTTGTCAGTGAAAAAGGAGGCAAAATCATTGCACGCCCTGGTGGATAGAAATTCAGAGGCTACTGACACTGGGGGTTAGTTAGTCTGTCCACAGGTAGCAAACAAGGCACGTGCGTTGTTTTTGTTTTTGGTAATGATGTCAGAGAAAGAACGATTGTCGTGCGTTTTTCAATTCCACATATAAAGGCCAAGTCTCTCTTTATAGATTTCAAAGTGAACCTGGAGATTTGTTTTTATCGGCCACCTGCGGTCAGCTTTTCGACATTCTCTTTTTTCTGTTTTCACGGGTCATGGCCTTTCTCCATGGAGATATTTCTTGACAGACACTTACCTTTACCTTATTTGGAGCAATGGCATCTATAACATTTTTAATTTTGAATTAAAATGATCTACTAGCTCATTTACTGAGATGTTGGCAGGGGCAAGTGTGGAAGAGAAAAGTCTGAGTAAACATTTCCCTAGTATTTTCAGTTAAATATCGCTTTGTGGTTACCTCTTTTTGAACATTTTTGTGAACAGAAATAGAGCTCTCAAAGAAACACAGGAATGATCAGAGAGGTGCAACAGCAGTCACCACACCTTAGAGATATTCAGAACCCTTTGAGATAATTAAGTCCAGAGTGTGCCCCTTATTGTGCGTGGCTCCGTCACATGCTGAGTCGTCCATAGCTATCAAGAAACACAAAACATTCTTTAGCCCATAAAAGTCAAGTAAGAGTCAAAGTAAAGTCATCAAAAAGCTTGCACAGTATTTGGGTGGTCTATAGATATTTAGGAACAGAGCTCGAGAGGAGCATTTCAGCTGAAGGGCCACATATTCAAAAGAATCAAAGTTTCCATACGATGTCTTCCTGCATTGAAGGGAATCATTGAACAGAATAGCAACTCCACCCCCTTTCTTATGCATTCTTTCCTGACTCATAAAACTAAAGTTGGGAGGGGTTGATTCGATAAGAACAGCTGCACTGTTATTTTGTTCAATCCAAGTTTCTGTTAAAAACATAAAATCGAGATTGTGCTCAGTGATTAAATCATTGATTAAAAATGTTTTTCCTGCCAAAGACCTGACATTTAATAAAGCTAGTTTAAGTTTGTTAAACACACTATCAGTCATGTTTTTTGTAACAAGCTGTGGCTGACATGGAATCACTGCTAAATTAGATACACTCACACAAACGTTTGAGCGCTTCCTTTTCTATGATTCACCGCTCTTAATCTATTACCTATCAACACAGATATCGGCAAAGCTACTGGCAGGCAGGGCCCCGACATGTCCTGGAAAGAGTTGAGAGTGCCATACGCCCTTGAGCCTGGACCCATCACATATCAGTAAGAGTTTGTTGTGTTTTGTACACACATCCTTATCAGGCTTCGGAGACTGCAGATGCCCCCTCGAAGGGAGGGGAGGTGGTCGACGTAGGCACGGTGATGGAGACGGGCTAGATGGTGGGGGGTAGAGGACATGCTGCCAGGGGGGGGAGGTGGTTGACGTAGGCGCGGTGATGAGGACGGGGGAGATGGTGCGCGTCTCCGCGGTGATTTTGGTGGGCGTCGTTGAGGGAGGGGGGTAAAGGACATGGTGCCAGCCCTGCGTATCGCCTTCGTTTGGTCTTTGAACTCCAGGAAGGAATCGGTGCCAACCCTCTGTATCTCCTTTGTGTGTTCATCGTTCTCCAGGAGGGTGGGCGAGGGTGAAAGGGTGAACGGAGTATCCTCAAAGGCGTTGACAGGGGGGGGGGGGCAGTGGAGACTCCTCCATGTGTCTCATATGTCTCCCATAATCAGAACATTCCTCAGGCGGGTGCAGTGATAATTCTTCAGGGTTTTCTGCGTGATGTGTTGTGTCTTTCTCGTGTTTTGATTCCTCTTGCCGCTTGTCCTTGGCAGAGGGAACAGATTGATGACGCAGGCAGTTGAATATGATAGAGATAAACAATTTCACTCCTGACTTGTTCAGGCAAACTCCATTTGCCTTGGAAAGATGTCTGCGATCCCAGAAAAAGTTAAAATTGTCAATAAAATGAACAGAATGGTCAGTACAGGCCGTTGAAAGCCAGGTGTTCAGTGCAAACAATCTGCTGAATCTCTCCACTCCTCTTCTGACTGGCGGTAGAGGGCCACTGATGAACACCTCTGCATTTAGAGAGCTGGCAGTTTCCAACAAACATTTAAAGTCTTCTTTCAGCACTTCTGACTGTTGTTTCACAACATCATTTGTTCCAATGTGCAGTACCACATTCTTCACAATCGGATGTTCAGCCCCAATATGCAGGATCTTCTCAGCCAAGTCAGAGACCACATCCTTGGGAAAACAGAGTACTTTGGTGTTGTTCTTATTACACAGACCTTTTACATCTCTTACAGCAGAGTCACCCACAATCAGAGTTTCAGGCCCAGTCGTTAGCTTTCCCTCTAGCCTTTTACTTTTAGAGTAGCTATTGGTCCTTACCCTGCTGCGTGAAGAGGACAGGTTATCCAGGTCATCAGATCTCCGGTTCTCGGTCAGCGGAGCGTATCTGCTCTGAATTGGCACACTTGGTGGTTTAGGAGGATTGTTTGTAATGCTCCCTTTAGCAGCTGTCCACTGCTGTTTCCTAGTATGAATAGGGGTTGAAGAGGCGCTCTTCCTGGGTGATAACAATGCAGGCCAGCCGGTCGCATCACAGATTTCGGAGCTCTGGGCTCTGCCTGTTATCCGTCCTCCCAAATCCCATGGAAAGGATTTACTCTTAGGCTTTGCACCCAGAGAGTTCCAGGGAGGACTACCACTTGTAGATTTATTACCCGGTACACAGCCCTCCTGTTCCTTGGAATCCTTGTAGCTGCTAACTAGCTGTGAGTTAGCATACCCTTCTCCATTACTTTGCAACACTGGTAAAGTCGTGTCATTCCCACGACATAGTCCATTCACTTCCACGTTAACTTCCAACCGTT